TAGTTGGATTGTTAGTTAGTTTTGTGGATAGAACTTTGAAGTACTACTTGTACTTGGAAGAAAATAGAGAATGTTAGTTACTCAGTTATAGGTTTTGCTTATTTTTTTTGTTGTGTATATACTTAATAAATATTTGCTTGCTTTTCTTTAATATTGATATTCCTGAGTTAAATTGATATTAATAAAAAAAAGTCTCTCCTACTGAATATCATAACAACAATTTATTTTATCTTCTAGGTTTAAGGTCATTTTGATTAAACACTAGTGCTTTTCTAAAGCTATAAATGATAGCTGTAATTTTTTTAATAAAATATCAAGTTATCACAAGTATTATTTGTATAGCAATCTATTTAGTTATTTAAAAATAGTAAAGGTCAGAGATCTATTAAAATCATTTGATTACTACATCCAATCAGAATAAAAAATTTGTAAAAAAACACCAAAAATTAATTGAAACATTATTATTGTTTGTTATGGAACCTATTCCTTCTGATAAACAAACAACTTCTATGGCCAACAATACCTCTGTACTCTACAAAGTACAGTATAAGATAAAGTTGTGAAACAAGCCAACTGATATCATATAAGCAGACTTTATGAGAATTATATACTTTTGAGATTTAAATACTATTGCTATATCTGGGAGTGGTGGGAGGGCTGTAGCTGGATACAATGTCAAGCAGAAAATTCAAGAACAAAGAAATCAGCAGATCATCAAATTATTCAAATATAAATACTATCAAAGCCTCATTACTAAATTGATCTGCTATCACATATATGATCTATAACTTATAATAATATCCTACCTTGTGACTTCATCCACAAGCAGGTTATTATTATTGTTTATCATAAAACCTATTTCTTCTAATGAACGAACAACTTCCATAGCCAACAATATCTTTGTGCTCTATGAAGTACAGTATGGGATTGTTGGCGAGGATTATACAAGTAATTTGTATTGGGTCCCACTACCCTACTTATACAGTCAACAAAGCTACAACCTAACTTTAGACTTTCTTCTTATCAGTTACTATATAATTAATTAAACAAGCTATATTTCTATTTCAGACTTCAGTCTAATCAATTAGTTTGGGCTGTGTGCTCTTTAAAATTTTTTAATATCTACATCTCTTTTCTTTTTCTTTCTTAACTCCCTTACTCTTTCTCTTTTTTTTTTATTTCTGGTATTACTTTATCAAATTTATTTACTAGATCTGATACTATTTTTTTTTTAACTGTGTGTCCTACTAAATCACTACTTCAATTATAGTTTACTCTTTAGACTGCATGCCTTAATACATATAATTTATATCACTTACTACTCTATATATATATATAATTATCTATTTTCTCTTTTTCTTCCTTTTTTTTTTTTTTTTAAAAAAACCTATACAGATAAAAGTTCAAAACTTAGCCATTGAAACTGTCCTCAAATACAATATCACAGTCTTCAAATTTTAGCTTCTAATACTCAAATTTGTATTTCTGCCATTATAACAGTGTTGCTTCACTTATTCTCAATTAATAAGCTATAAATCTACCAGTCAAACCTGCATAGTCTGCAAACCATTTTACTATTAAGCTAATTGCCAAAACAAAAACTTTTTTCTCTGTTTCGATAAAAATAAAGATGCTTCTGTGTCTGTTATTAGCCAAATTTTCAAGTACTGCTTTAATAGCCCAACTAAGCAATACTGTGAATCTATATTTTCTACTAGAATAAATCTACTATTCTTGAATTGATCAGTTTTAGATTTGCAGATTTGAACCCACAGGGTTTTATCATTATCACATCTTATATCTGTTATTTTTAGCTCTCCTAACTCTCCTGGCCTTCACATTGTCTGCAATCTTAGTGTAACCAATACAATATCTCTTCTATATATAGATCTACTTGCCAAGGATGGTAGTATATCTATATAGTACCTTAGTACTTTAACTAGAAGTAGATTACATGGCCAATTTGGTGTTTTATTCTTTGAAACTTTCTTTTTTACTGCTCTTAAAACTCATGTTACTGCTAATAAATTTCTAAAGCTTTTTTTCCCTTTAAATACAGATTATTTATAACTACTTGAAGTATTTGCATGGTTTGGACTAACCTTATTATGTCTAACTACATAATAAATGCCAGAATCCCATCTTTTTGTGATTTATCTACAACTAACTCAAATCTACAAAATTCCCTATAAAGAGTCCAATATTTTTCTGATTTTGCTTTATAAAATGGAAACATAGCTTGCTTTGCTAATGCTCTTGCTTTTTGGAACAGCTCTTTTATATCCAAATATGCACTGCCAATAAATTTTACCTTGAATTTTTCTATGGTTCTACAAATCCTGACAAACCTGTTGCAAATATAAGTCTTAGTTCTGGCAGGTAAAAGGCCATTCAATTTAGCTTCAGAAGTTGTGGCCACTATTCTTCTGACAGCTACTCTGAAATTACTATTGTTGCTTTTGCCCTACTGCTTCCTATATGTGAAGGACCTTTTATACTAAATGCAGTGGTAGACACACATAATTTACTTCCTCTTCGCACCTTTGGGTAAAGCAATTTATAGCCTCTGCTTCTGAACAAAAATGATAGCTGTTGAATCTTTGTAATATTGTATTTATATAGGATAACATTCGATCAACTGAGTGTAGACCAAAAGCTTTCTCTATCTCTTGAATCACTTCTTTTCTGATATACCAATCTGATGAATTAACAACTTGGGTCCACAAGTCTGCTGGATTTTCTGCTAATAGTACTTATTTCAACTTGTAGATTTAAATGTCTTTTTCTAGACAAATCTGCTACAATCTTCTGTAGGTCTCCTTTTGCCACCAATGCTTGCCTCCTACTTTTATTGTTGCCAAGGCTCTATAAAAATTAATATCCAAAACTCTTTTAACAGATCTGCAAAACTTTCGAGGCCCAATAGAACTGATTCAGATTTTAACTTTGCGATTTCCTGAGAATCTGATTTTTTTATCTAATTTTCAAAGGCTGTTAACCTCTCTAGTTTTGTACATCAACTAGTCATAGAAGCATCTATAAACAAAGTCTTTATTAAAGATGGTCTTCAGGCAGAGCAGCCATTGTACTTCTCTAAATTTTTATCAATCAACTTATATCTTTCTTTGCCTGATCTAACAATTAAACCCTTTTGTTTTATACTCAAAACTGTTTGTTTGCTATATTTATAAAGGAGTAAAACTTTAAACATTTTACTTGAGTTGGGGTAAAAGCTCTTGCAAAACTTTGAACCTTTTCTATAATACTTGCCAACTGCCTGGCTGTTACTCAATTTATATCTATCAGTGCTTTTAAATATATTTTCATCTTTTCCAACTTTGACTCTGGTACAATCACTTGTGCTCTTTCTGTATCCACCAGTAGTTTATAAAACTTCATCTTTTTTGATGGTATTGGGCTGCTCTTTTTCCATACCAAAACAAAACTGCAATTTCTTAAAACTGATATGATAATCTTATTCTGAATCTTTTCTAAAACAACTACTAAGAGGTGAGCTACTCATATATCATTACATGCGAACTCAAGGCTATTCTCTTTGATCTCCAATAGGCAATTAGTGCCCGAATTATCCTTGAAAAATCCAAATTAACTGCAAAAGACTGAATAATAACACCCAATACTAATATCATACTTTCTTAATCTGAAACCTTAGTAACTGATGAGCTTTCTTGTCTATTAGCATATGATGATAGCTATCCCTTAAATCTAATGTAATCATTGACCAATTTCTTTCTATTGACTTTAATAGGCCACCCAATCCTTCAAAACGAAATGATTTTTCTGGCAGCCATTTGTTCAGTCTTCTAAAATCTATTACTAGGTAAAAACATTTTGGCTCTAGTTTTAGTATTAGCAGAGAAGCTGGGCAACTGCTGATGTATCTACTTTTTTACTACACTCAGCTTTTTCAATTACTGCAGTTTTTCCTCCAACTATTTCTCCTAATCTATTGTAAATTTGTAAGGCCTTGGTACCTTGCTCTTGACTAAACTCTACACGTCTCTTAGAAATAAGAGTACTTGGTTTTTTAACCAACAAGCTACAATAGATGGCAGGTTTATTTTTTTTATCCAATATTTTACTGCTGCTGGTTCATGAATTTCCTAACTACTTCCTTGCCCTGCTTTATACTGTTCATCATTCCTATCTACTGTTTTTCTTTTTATTCTTCCTTCTCTGAGTATAGTCATCTATTTTTATTGCTAGTTCTGTTTTGAAAAATCCCAATTCCTCTTGTATTATTTTCTGATGATCTTGAGGCACAAACTGATGCTGTATGACCTGCACCTCCACAATAGTAGTAGGTAAACTTCTTGCTTGATTCTATGCCAAAAAAATTCTGATAAGTTGGCCCTAAATTTGGGAACACTCCTTGATTTTGATAAGTTGGTTCTAGATTCAAAACATTCATTAATTCTAATAAGTCTGAAGAGGCAGAGAATACTGTATATATTGTTGAGGAGACAGATAAGAGGTATAATAATTTGTTCTTAAACCTCAAGCCCTGAATTTTCAGTCTCTAGTTTGTCAAGATCTTTCATTATAAGGTACAAGGTCTCCTCCTTGTAACTTTGCTTGTTTCCTTGCTTTAACTCATAAATCCTTAAATTTATCACCTTCATTGGATACCAATTTTGGAATTTTTCTTGCCACAGTCCAACCTTCTTCTTCAGTAAATCTCAAGGTAAATGTCCTTAACCTTAACTATTTCTGTACTTCTAAGTGTCTTTTTTTGAGTTTTCCTAAATCACTTTTTGAAGCAATGCACCAGTATTATACACTGAATCATACTCATATTAATCTCATGCTCTTTTAAACTTTCTTTTTGAAAAGTTTTTTTCAATTGCTTTTGCCCCATTTATTTTTGCTGTCTATTGTTGCCAACTCCTATTCAAGACTCTTGACAGCAATGCACCTAACTTTTCATCAATCCTTTCCTTTAAACTATCATCTACAAGACAAAAAAAGCTTTATTTTGGTTATCAAAGTCCTTCTGCAAGAGAGGTTCCTTTCTTTTTTCATTCTCTTTACCAAAATTTTTGTCTACTAACTTCTCTTTCCTTTTTTTGGTTGCTCCAGGTTCTTTTCAGATTCGGGTTTATTCCAGAAAACCTTCAAAAGGTTTACCAGTTCTGTTTTACTACCCTCATCTTGAAGACTACTCTTAGAACATATTGCTTTTAAATCTGATGTTCTTAAATAGTTCCAGTCTACTATATTGTTGATTTCTGGCTGTAAGATAGCTGCTTCACTATTACTTTCAATAGATGTTTCTTGTGTTTTCTTCATTATACTTAAAATAAACTGTTACTAAAATAGCCTGTTCTAAAGCATAGTTGAATACAATTTTGAGCAGAAAATTCAATATATAAAGCATGATGAAATACATATAAAAAATAATTAATTGATGAAGAATAAGTTATGCAAACTAATAAGATATAAGTTTTTGTAGACAGAAGTAATTTTAAATAGTATACAAACTATATATTCATTATATTCATTCCTGATATAATTATAATATTATATATTACTCCATTTCTGATATATACTTTGTAATATTATATATCACTTCATTCCTGATAATAATAATGATCAATATATATATATATTAAACTATTTTTTTTTTTGAATGAATTTTTTTGAAAAAAAAATTAAATGTTTCACTGAAAAGTCTTCAATACTATTAAAATTATCAAATAATTAGGCCAATAAAAAAGTTAAAACAAAAAAGAGAAATTAACAAAAACAAGAAATTTAGATTAATAAAATGATATTAATTAAAAGCAAATATAAAAATGACCACAATCAGCTACCGCTTTTAGAACAACAATGTTCTCTACAGATTGTGTGTCATTTTTAAAAGAGAATAATATAAGTAGACAAGTGGATAAGCCTATTTATACAGAGAATTATGATAAAGATGGTTAGACCTAATGCACAAGACAAACTATAGCACTCTTGACAGCTATAAAAACCAGGCTTAAATAGCAAGCAACTTTGCTGAAGACTATTTGTCCAAATCATCATCAACATCTTTAGACTTCTATGATTTGGGTGCATGCTATAACAAATACTTATAATCTCATAAACTTCACCTTTTTAAAGGACCTCAAACCCTACAATCCTTCTACTCTTACCTTAGTATCTATGCACTACATCTTAAAAAATTTGCTGCCATCTCACTATTCAAAGACAGAACAGAAGCACATGTTTACCTACTAAATAGAACTAAATTACTGCCAAATCACATCCTACCACTAATATTAGACACATACAATATACTTCTTAAAGCATATACAGACACATCACCAATTCTATCACCTGCAATCTCTGATGAAGAATCTGAATCTTTAACTACAGATCTACTTTTATTACTGCAAAATCTTACTAATAATATCTCAAGCTCATCTATGCTACTCTCTACATCTACAAACTATTCCTAAATTTTTTTAACATGTTTTTTAAAATTACTAAAAATTTTATTAATGATATGCACCTATTATTAAGCTAAAATAAAATTTGGCATATTGTTAATTGATATTTATTAAAATTTTAATTATATATATTTATAAATAAAAGAAAAATTGTTTAAATATAGGCAATTCTTTAATTTTACTATAAAATTTTTTCAAAATTTTCAAAAGTTTTCAAATTTTTATATGTTTTCAAAGAAAAAAAACTTTTCTCTACTAATTAAAGTTAAAATTTTAATTATAAAATTATAAAACTTTTATAACAAAAGTTGTTTATGATAACTTGATCTATAATTTGTATCAAAATTATAGGATACATATTCTTAGAATTTTAAAAAGTTTGTCAATAGTCAAAAATAAAGTTTCTAAAAATCAAAAATTTTTAAATTTTTTAAATTTTTTTAGCTTATAGACAACTTAAAATTTTTTTATACAAATATAAAAATTAAATTTATTAAAATATAATCTATATTAATAGTTAATATTTAAAAAAAAATTTTTTTAATTAACTTAATTTTAGTAAAAATAAATTAGAAGCAAATTTTATAAATCTTTTAAAAATTCTAAGAGGCAAATTTGCCCGCTAAAACTGATAGTTTAAAGGATACTTCTATTTATAGTCATTTTCATTAAAATCATACTCAAATTAGAGATTTATATCTCAATATTGCAACACATAATATTTGTGGTTTCAACACAATTACTAAAAGAGAAGCCTGACAAAATTACTGTCTTAATTACAATAGCAGTATTGCCTGTATTACTGAAACCAAAATAGCAGAAAAATCTAATCTTTCTTTTTATAACAACAATCTTGTTTACTTCTGAACTAATTCTGACAGCTTAGCAGAAGGGCTGCTATTATGATATGCAACTTTATTCAACTACATAGCTATAACTGTTTTACTCACCCTAGGGTACTGTGACTATTAACTTATTTTTCAAAAGCAATATTAATCTTTGCATTATCTCAGTTTACCTTTTCTTCACAGATATATTAAAAAAAAATGCTACCAAAATACTGTAATTAACTACTTGTCAACATAATCTCTATTCTATCATTTTTGTAACTTCAATACACATGACTATAATTATAGTTCTTTAGCCAAATACAGACTTATCAACTTTTTATATCAATTCAATATGTATGATATTGGTACACACTTCAACAATACTCACTATACTTGGTCTAATAATATCTATTCTAGCTAAATTGATTATATTTGAACTGACCAATTCAATATCCAATTTCTTTTGTCATATAAACTAAATACTAATAATACTTGCACTTGCAGTGACCACCTCATACTTAGTTTTTTTTAAACATTTCCTTATGCTTTTAGCAAACCACCTCATTTGTATACTGATATTAGCTGCTATATATTTAACTACAATGCTATGACCTTAGAAAACTGGTCTGAATTCTTAGATCTTCTTACAACTAAACTCAATCAATATCGAACACCTCTTTCACTTTAAATCTCTAAAAGTATTAATACTATATTACATAAGATAGAACATTCTTTTATATATTCTGCTACATCATTTATTCTAAATAAATCCAGTTGTAAACATAGCTATAATCACAAATATATACACAACAATACTCAACTATATCTGTTGCTTAGAAAACTAGGCCATTTAATTAAAAATTTTAAAAATATCAATATAACTCCAGACATCTCTTTTATTAACTCGCAAATTCAAAATATTAATTTACAATTCCAATCTTAAGCTCAGACACTGCCCAAGTCTCAGAATGGATCAAACATAACCAAGACATATAGCATTAACTATATGAGGTATGATATACTAAAAACTCATTTTTACTTTGCCAACAAGTTCAACAAACCTCTAAAAAAAGATGTGAAACTCTTGTTAGCAAACCTATACAAGCTATTAATAGTATTCTTAAATACTATCAAGCATCTATATACTTTTTAAATATCAAATTACTAAACCAACTAGTTACTAAGCCTACTCTTATTAACAACATATTCAAAACTATTTCTACTACTAGATTGTCTATAAATCTATCAATTAAACCTTCTTTGATAGTTTTTGACAACAAGAATACCTACTACAAACTTATATTAATCCCAATTGATATAGTTCTCTTATCTTGTCTATTATAATAGAAGAGATAACTTTGACTATTTCTAAGCTTTCAAATAGTAAAGCCTATGAACTACTGGTATTAGCTATGAAATGATTAAATATGCTGACTCTATATATTTTCAAGCACTTACTGTTCTCTTTAATCTTTGCTTTACTTAAAGCCAAATTCCAAAACAATGGAAAAATAGCCAAATTTATCCTTTTTCTAAGTGTAATATTTTTAATAGCAACCTTAATCTTACTCAACCAATTAGCCTTGTTAAACATATTAGAAAAATCTATACTAAAATTATTACTAACAGACTCAATTTAAAATTTCAACAATACCCTATTCTATCACCCTTCAACTATATTGCTCTACTTAGAAACTTTACCACTATTTCTATACATATTCTACAAAATTTTATTGAGGATGCTACCTGTAATCATAAGGATATATAGCTTCTGTTTCAAGACCTAAGCAAGGTTTATAATTCTGTTAATCTCTCTTTACTTCAACACTCTCTTGTTTGACTTGCCTTACCAACTACTATCATCAAAACTATTACTAATATTTTTTGCAGATTACCATAACCAAGTTATAACTAATCTTGGGCTAACCCCTCTATATTCTATTCAAAGTGGTATTGACCAAGATAAAACTATTACTTTACTTCTGTGAAAAATATATTATAATCTACTTATAATATATATTTACTATGCAAACATCCTGGATTACTAGTCTCAAAAACAAATCTTTTAAACAACTTAATGCCAAATGCTTAGTATTAGCTTATATGGATAATACTCTTTGGCTTGCCTCTTCTCAATATGAACTTTCCCAGATTCTTTCTGTTGCTCAATTATTTTATGAAATAGCCAATATACAAGTCAATCTCTCTAAATCTATTTTCTGACCAATAATCCTCCTCCTTACTGCATTAATAATATACCAAGCATAGGTATCAGTGATATATTTAATATCAGCAATTTGAATAAGATGTAGTGATTCTTCAATAATGAGTTAGGTTTGTTTTGTAAATTTGTTATCTAGAGTAAACCAATATTCAAGAGCTTGAAAGGTGTGTGAAGTAAGTGTAAAGGTAGTAAATATGAGTTATAACTAATAGAGTTGTAGTAATTATATTTACAATTGAATACCAACTCTATAATATTGTACTTAGTTAACATACCTGTAAAAAAATACTTTTTCACTATATTAAGTTTGTCAAACACAAAGCTAAATTAAATTGAACTATTCCTACAAGTATTCTTTTCCATCTACTATTCATAATATTTAGGATATTCAACTTCAACATTATATCACTAACTACATTAAACAGATTAATAACCCAGATCTTCTGGGCATTACTTCTTGAATCCATCTTTAACAACTCCAAAATAATCTTTGGTCATCCAAAAATATTTTGATACATCTCAATTCTATTATTAATAGTTTTAACAAATATACAACTAATTTTAAAAATATTAAGCTATTCAAGTAACTCAATATATCAATTACTCACAATCTAATTTATTATATTTTATTTGCTCCATATAAAGATATTATATTTTTGGAATTGTTACTTTTATCAAATTCCAACTATAGTTCTTTCAAAAAACAACTTCAACAACATCATATTCTTTACTTAGACCAACTTACCACATATAACAACTTATGTCTTCTTAGTTGGAAGCATATTGCATCCAGACTTCACA